AGGACCACTAGTGCACTCTGCCCAGATACTAACCACACATATCAGTTGTCAGAATGAAGCACCCAGAACAACTCGGGTTCCAACAACATCTAGTGACTGTAACTCCTAAGATTGTCTATCGTAGTGTCAGCATAAAACAATCTTCCTGCTGTTGAACAGGAGATCCTGGGGTTCATAAAGACAACAGCCGTTGATGGTTTTTTGTAAGGCTCCCTATCAGTAGGGAGCACAGTGGTGGTCACAATCCAGGATTTCTACTGCAGCAAGGAATATCCCAGAACAAGAGTCTCACCGGGCATCACCTTCGCCTTCAAGACTTCCCCAGTGTACAGTTGTCTCGCCCTCTCTTTCTTTGGCCCATCACAGAGTCCACCAGCTAGCAGAAAAACAGTTGTGGTAGCGGTCAGGCTCGGCCAGTGGGAGGTTCATCCAGCGCCACCACCAGTCTCCCATGTGGCAAATACTGTAGTTCAGGCTCTCGCCTACATCATCAAGTAGCCAGTCGTACTTTAGAGTGAAAACTGTCAGAAACACTAAGGTAGGCCAAAAGTCTTACAGAAAAGTTTGATTGTAAATTTCAGGATCGAGCCTAAAGCCACATCCCTACGGCAGGGAGCAGTCCAGCTAGGCCCAGGCAGAAAGGTTAGGAGCATGCATTTTACAGGCGGGCCTGCTGAACTGTGGTTTATGGATATTATCACAGAATGCATTTCTGCCTGGGGCTATGTTACTAAACGGTTTCCTGCCATCCAATTGCAGTATGTAAGTTGCAAAGTGTCAACACCCCAATCTTGGACTTTACTCATTGTTAGTGTCCTGTTTATATGTTACATTAAGTCCCCTTCTTATGAACTTTCTACTTACGAACATTCCATACATACGAAACAAATTATTTTAAATACTCCGTTCCCAAAAAATATTTGAAAGATGCTAGCAAACTTCAAATTTCCCGGGCGGGGGGCGAATTAGATTCACGAGTCTTGCCATGCCGTGGCGCTGCTGCAACTCACTCAGCTTTGTGCATCACTCGCCTCAGCCGCCCTCCACATAAACATGAAGATGTCGTTCCATTATATCTCAGTACTGCCAATTTTTGTGCATTAATGTACCTTACCTGTGTATCAATGCAGCAAAATACTTATGGTATTATGTATAGTATTCTTAATGTAACAAAAACTTTAAAACAATGGAAAAAAGGCAATGGAGACCTGACTTCGGATATACAAACAAATGGAGGGTACGAACAGCCTTCGGGTCCCCCATTATGTTTGTAAGTTGAGCCGTTCTGTATAGTGTTAGAAAACATTGGTCAGTTCAGAATTTTATGCCAAGTTGTCCTTAACTGGTGTAGATTGTGGCTTTGGGGAAGGAAAATATTTGTAAGTTAGTTATTATTGCTTCTTTTGTTTCAGAGAAATTTGTACTTGTGTTGTGTAATTGGTAGACTGAAGTTGTACATATATAAATGCCCCCTTGTACTGTAAAGTCTAAAAATGATTTAAGATGTAAAAGGTTTTAGGAAATAGTTTTAAAATATATAATTAAAGGAGAGATGCTATCAATGTTGGTGGGGCTTTAATATTTTTATATGCTAACATGTCTTTACTTGTCAAACACTTCAAAATAAACCAGTAACTTGTGAGTGAATACGCATTGATAAGTAGAAACTGGTAAAACTCACCAGAATTAAAATGTTAACCTTTTAAACTTTTCAGGAATTAGTTATGAAGTAAAGGGAGCCAGCTTGTAACCAAAGGACAGTTATCAATAAGTAAAGTACTGGAATTGATGCTTGGAACATGAGAAAAACTATGCGGATTTCCAATTAAACCCAATGCCAACAGGCATGACATGTACGTATTGTTATGCCACTAGTGAGTGCTCGTCAACCATTGAGCCAATTACGAGTACTGCCTGTCTCGCCGGCTTACCTTTCTTTGATTTGGAGAAAAATAATGTACGTTATCTATTGTGCTGTTACTAATGTTATAACATTATAGTAATATAAGGTTTATAATCAAAATAACACCTTCGAATATTCATAGCATAGTAAAAAATAGTTTTTCCATGCCAATACAAATCAGGTAAAGAATCACAAGGTTACTAATTAACTCCTCGTGCTAAGCACTAGCAGAAAACATTGTGGGCAGAAAGCATTTCCCACTGTCTATTAATTTCCCAGTGCCATGGGTTAACCCCTGCTGACTGTCATGACATACGTACGTACTATGCCCACTGTTAGTTACTTGTTGATTGTTTTTTACACATAGATGGCTACACTTTACTTGTCCAGCATTTTTCCCATTTTTATTAATTTTCCATGGCGGCATTGGTTAATGATAATACAGTTGGTGGCCTTAGGTATAGTTCACAATTGGTCAGTCTTTATTACACTTCTAGCTTTTTGTCTCTTTCCGGGTTTGTCAGGGAAGAACCATAGCCTGAAGGTAACCAGAAGAGGCCTCCAGGAGCGGGTTAACATCCAGAGATCATATGAAATCGTCCAGGCTTGTCATTGCCAACAGCCCTAACAGGACCAGTTACAAGCTCAGCTCAAAACTTCCAGCAGCTTACTGCAGATGTCAAACCTAGCACCAGTGGGCAGACAGTGGTGGCTCCGGGGGACAGTCAGAGTGGCAATACTGTTGTGACCAATCTGTGAACAGTTCAGGGGTGGGCAATCTGCCCCACAGAACAAGTGCAAAACTATACTGTGTCAAGCTGTTGCCACCAGCAGTAACAGCACCAGTAGCACAATCACCTGTACAAGGGGCCCAACTCATTACCAGTGGTCCACGAATGGTCCGTCAGGTGGCTCTCAGTGTCAGTGTGCAGCTGGACCACTGTGATGCACCCATAGCTGGCCACACCAGGGGGACCATGTGCTTACGACAAATGGTCACACCCCAGTCTATTCAACCCATCCCAGGTACCTTTGGCTTCTTCAAGTAGGGCCTCTTCTCTTTTGCTGATGGTTAGAACTAAGATTACATGTGGTGGTGGTGTTGGTGGTGTTGGTGGGAGGTGGTAGCAGTAGTGGTGTGGTGAAGTGGTTGTTTGGAGGCAGCTGTAGGAGAGATCAAATGCAGTTACAAATATCCCAGAAAGTAATGTCATTGTTTCAGGACCGAATAGTATGAGTAGGTAGCTGCAGCATGGTTGTGATGGGAGGAAATGGTGGAGTGGTTCTGTCATGCAAGCTCAGTAATGTGAGGTGAGAGCCTCTGCAGTTTCAAGTTTGGGGGAGCCTGAACAACCATGGTAGTGATGTCTCAGCCAAGTGAGTGTAACACCAGTTAGCAGTAGGGTGCTGGTCCTTCACCCAAGTAATAACAGTAGTGAAGGCATTAGTGGGACAGTAGTAGTGGTGGGTGTAGTGGCAGCATTGGTACAAGCAGTGACCACTGCTTGTGTCATTTTCAACAGAGTCTCAGCATCACCTCAATCCTCAATCTGATTCCTCTGACATATCCCCCATATCCCTGAACCCCCCTAACTCCCCAAGTCCCCTCACAGTTTCTGCAGTACCTGTGATAGGTGGGGGAATCACCCATAATACTCAGCCGACACCTCGGCTTTCGGCTGCCCCATCTTCAGCTGTGTGCTTACCTAATTCCCACTATATCATTTTGCAGGTGAGACTGTACTTGAGATTTGTGATGATCCTGTAGTATAAGTAGACTGTTTATTTTCTTTGATGGCTGTGATATTATATTGTGGTCCTTTTTCATGTCTACTTTCAGTCGTCCATTCCTTGATACAGATTATGATGCCAGGAGTAGTTTGTTTGTATGGCTATACAAAGGTCATTTTATGCATGCATTTATTTGGTGTCAGAAACTTATGAAGGGCTTTAGTTAAAGCCAGTACCCCGTATGGATAAAAGGATACTTAATACAAAACCCTTCTCTGCCCATTTAAAATGCTTGTTTGACCATTTGTGCGCAGTAGTACACAAAAGATCTGTGTTTGTTATACTGACTTTTGCCATGGATTATTTGATTGCTTTTTTGTTGATTACACGAGAGGATGAAAGAAAAATATATGCTTCTGATTTAGCATAGAGTCGAGCTATTGTAGGAAATCATTTTGTTTTTATGATTTTATTAGAAAAATTGGTATTAAATGTACATTACATGCATGTAAGTGTTTGATGACTAGAAATAAATGTTTCTCTGTGTGCATGTGTGTGCGTTTTTATGTGTGTGCATGTTTGTCTGGACTTTGAAAAATGATCTTATCACAGGTACATATTTTTCCTTGTATAGGCAAGGAATGACCAGATTAATTGATATTCAAAGAGGGTACAGTTATGGAGCATGATTTATATATTCTTGTATATATTTTCTTGTATATCTCTGCTATTTATGGTTACTTTATATCAGATAAGTAAATGAACTATTTATATTTATATAGCGATCATTGTTTTTCTCTTCTGTTTTAGAATGAATGGTTTTGAGTGTATTAGGAGCTTTCTTTTCCCCTATTGTAGTTCAGTGATGTGTTGTTCAATTTGTTGAGGTGATAACCAGAAATTATAAGTTATTTATATATGTTCTTTCTTGAGTGCAAACAGTTACTCATTACAATTTTTTCTTCTTTTTTGTTACTAAATTATCAAGTTTTGTGCGTCTAATTAAGTCTTTACATTTTCAGCATGAGGTTTGTGAGGGCAGCATGGCCCCTCCAACAGCCACCTCCAGGCCAATCACCATCCTGCGACCCACAACAGGAGGAAAGCAGATAGTCGTACAGACTGTACCTGTCTCCAGTTTGCAAGTTTTAAGACTAAAGAACATATCCAATGTGAATGGAGAAGGCATAACTAGCAGTGATTCACAGCAACCTCCACGAGCAGCCAGTGCCCCACCCAATAAGAGTGGTGTCATGGTAGCTCTGGCCCCAAGACCTTCCAGTGTGGGCCCACGCATTGTTGTGCAAACAAGCAGTGCCCAGGGCTCCCCAGCCACTATACTTACTTCAGCTGGACAGCATTTTTATCCGAAGGTGACCCCAGTCCAGGTGTAAGTAGCTGTGACAGTGACCAGCTTGTCACAACACGGGCTGGGGCCTCTCAGTCCTCTGACACATCATCAGAGAGCATCCAGGAGAACCAAGTGGAAATCCTAGCACCTGCAACTAGTGCGGCTCCAATGCAGTTGAATGCAAACTGCACTGCCCCTGGTACGGGTCCAGTCCCTGGCTCAGGAAACATACCAGCTGTCACAACAGTCTCCAGTGTTGTCAATTCATTTCAGAATCTCAATAACAACCCCAGTATGCCCCCACAGTCAGTGCAACACCAGCATCCACAACATCCAATTGTGTCACAGCATCCAAGCATGCCTGTGAGACCAAACATGCGTATGATGATGAACAACATGCCACACATGAATAACATGCAGACCCTGAACAATATGCAGCCAATGAATAATGTTGCCCAGATGAATGCAATGCCTGGCATGAATGGCATGGCCTCCATGAACATGCAGGGCAACCCAACAAACCAAGGTATGCATGCAATGCCACCACAGATTAAAGGGGACAACAATGAGGATGGTTGTCCATGCAACATGAAAGCCATGATTATGTGCATGAAGTGTGGTGCTTTCTGTCACCATGATTGCATTGGCCCTGCTAGATTGTGTGTAGCCTGCCTTATTCGTTAGAAAAACAGTGTAATATTTACACTTCATTTCCAGATTGGTCAACACAGTTACACCTCATTTTCGTAAATGAAGGGAATTTTTTTTCCTCATTTGTTTTCAGGGATGATTCCATGATGAAAGGGATGCATATTAGACATTGAACTAATTTAGTGCCTAGGATTACAATTTGGCATGTAATAAGACTTGCTATGCAGGCATATGTAAGACAAACAGTATGTTAGAGAAAACAAAATGCACACATAATTTGACCTAGAAATCTCTGCCAAAAGGTGGAAAAGAACCAGTGACTTTGGTGGCAGTGATGAAACCTCAAAGATAATTGTGAAATGGATATCTCAGGAACTGATGAGCCGGTCACTCATGCCTTTGTTTGTCGTTTTTGGGGAGAATACAACTGAAGGAAGAAAAGTAAATGCATCATAACTACTCTGATAACTGTTTTCCAAGACTCTGATTGAATAGGGGCAGTGGGTCCTCTGTGAGAACTCACCACCTCTAAGGAAAAGGAAAAATGGTCCTCTTGGATTAGCATTTAAACACACAAGACAACAGACAGTCGATGCATTTGGAAAAGTATGTATTGTGATAACAGTACAATGGTGATGGTGCACTTTTTAAAAGGACTTCTTAACAGATGTACCAATGTGTTTAGAATTGCCCATCATTTTTTAGTACTCGGTTTATTGTAAAGGTTTACCAACACTGAAAACACAAAGTATGTTAATGCTGCTCCCTTTTAGTGAGATGATTTCTTTTATTGTTACATAACATAGCAAGAGGATAAAAGTACCGTTGGTATCCTCTGAACTCTTGATAGACACATCTGTTAAGCACAGTCTTTATGCTTAATGAATATTTGTTCAGTTAAAAAAAAAAAGAATAAAAAAAGTGATTCTCAGTGCGGGTTGGCCAGGCATTGTATAACACAGGTAATGAAGACATCATTAAACACACAACCTACCAACCCAGTCTGGTCTTGTGGACTAGACAATTCTTTCTAAGCTGATTGCCAATGTGAGTTTTTTTGAACATGGTCATGACTGTGAAATAATTTTCTTATTTAATGCACAAAATATTTTTCATCTGTTGGATTTATTTATCATTATTTACAGAATATTACCACAGATTATCAGTATCATTGCCATCATTATCATTAGCAGAGTTGGCTTTATCTTTATCATCATCATCATCAGTCATCATCATCATCATCATCATCATCATCATCATCATCATCATCATCATCAGTTATCATTAGTCATCCTCAATCATCATCATCAAAATCTAACAGCAGCTGCAAAAATCATGGCCTTCTTCATCATACTTTCTTCACCAGTCCTTCATTGTGCAGGATGTTATGTTTTTATTCAAGTATGAGTATAGCAATCTAAAGTTCTAGCATGGGTCTTTTTAAAATGCTATAGGAAACTGATATGTTCCTGTAGTCAGTGACATTATTATTATTATTATTATTATTATTATTATTATTATATTATTATTACTGTCATCATCATCATTATCAATATCATTATCATGGTCATACTTCTATCATCATCATAATTTTCATTTTCTTTCCATTCTTGAAGTAAAATTTGGATGTGCACCAATATCGGTCTTATAATGTATGGTGAGATCATGTATGTTGGACATATGATTCCAGTTTTTGTCAAGTGTATTAACAAAGTTTGTGATATTGGAAAGATTGTTGTTGTTACTGTTGCATTTGATTTGTATTTTTTTACTCTTATATCATCAATATCTCTTGTCCTGCACTAAAACATGATATATACATATTTTTTACTTTAAACTGTTAACATTGTTAGTACTAATAGTATTTTATTTATTTGACAACTGCTGTTACTACAACCAGTCATCATCTTCATCATCATCACCACCTCTACCACCACCTCCACCACCACCATCATCATCATCACCATCATCACCACCATCATCATCATCACCATCATCAGTAGTAGTCATCATCAATGCAATCATCATTCCTTGTATATCATATTTTTTATCATGTCATGTCTCACATGGTTTTATTAAGTAAAATGTAAATTTTTTCTGAAGGTGGAAGTGCTAATTTTGTTTTTAATTTGACAGTAAAGCTCAGAGACATGATGAAGAGGATGACAACACCAAAAGAGAACATAGAACAGTGCATCAGAAAAGTCTCATGTGTTGAGTTTAGCCTAGATACTTAAAAAATTTCAGGGGTTGCCAGACTTGAGGGATGTCAAAATTATGAGCCTGAAGTATTAGCCAACTGTTTCATAGCACAACCACAATATGCTAAAGAAAAAAACAAAAACAAAAAAAGATTGTAACATGTGTATTAAAATTTGAAATGGCAAATGAGTGTATTGTTTCTATAAAACAAGAATGAATATGGGAGAGTAACCTGTCCCACTACCATGTCCATCCCAAGCATTTATTTTATTCCTGTGCTTTCAATCTCATATTCTTATTCTCTAGTCTTTCTCTAGCTGGTTTTTACCATTATTATGAGACTATTTAAAAAAATGTTTTTGTTCTTCTCTTTCATTCCTTCCCCCCCCATACCATTGTTGCCATGGGGGAGAGAGATCCAGTGCTGGGGATCATCTCTTCCTTGGCCCTTAGCCCTTGATGCAAAGGCTTAGGTCTTTCCCCTTAACCCCTTGATGACGGGTGAAGAAAACTAAAAAAAAAAAACACTACACTCTGGAGATCAATGGCAATGCGCCGACTTTGAGTGCGGGAGGTTGGTACATCAAGCCGAATCACTGGCTCATAGTGCTTTGGCGCGCCACTGCCGCGTACAGCCACACACCACAGATCAAGCAGTTTGTTTTGAAGCCTCACGGCGTGACCCGTTGGGAAGGGGTTAACACTCCCTTGCTTCTTTTCATCATGAGGCTTAGGAGACTGAAACTGAGGCCCAATGTTTGATATCGCCCTTGCTTTGGTCCCCCTAATCCTTTGCTCGTTGTTGTCATGAGGGGGCTTAGGAGACAGAGGCTCGGGCCCAATGTAAGAGATCACCCCTACCTTGGACCTCGGCCCTAGCCTTAACTAATTTTGCCAATTTTTGTCTTTCCTTTTCCTACTCTTCTTCATCCCTTTCTTCTCACTATGACCAATTATGATTTTTTTTTACCCTTGTTAAGGGCATTAACCTGGGTCGAGGGGCAGGTGATAGGAACATGCTGTTACAGGAAAATCTGGCTGTAGGCCGGGTGACATGAACCTGCCATCATGAGTTGATGCTGAAGGAAAGGTGATAGAAGAGACTCACTATGACTACACAAACCTATTGGGAGGTTTATTTTACACATTTGGTGATATTGCTTTATTCCCATCAATGTATGAATGTGGAATGAAATGTCTATGAGCAGTGACTGGAAGAGCTCCGGCTGTATGGAGGACACCATTACCATATTCAGCAACGTATTCCTGGTGCCTTGAGCGGTAATGCAGGTTGTTTTACAGAAAATTAGATATTACATAAAAAAAAAAAAAAAGTAACATACTGTTACTTAAAAAAAAAATTCTTGCACAAAGTTGTAGACTATCTTGAGAGATTATTGAAGTCTGTACAAAGAAAAAAAACTAATACCATCTGGATAATGCAAATTAAATGGGAAATTTGGACATTGGAAAATGGCCAAAAGTTGGAAAAACATTTATGCATAAAAAGAGTAAATAACTTATTAACTAGGAGGCATAGAGTCTTGTCATTGTGCACATGTGTTCGCATGTGGCTGGCCTACAAGTAGGCACCCAGCAAAGTGGCCGCTCATGTAAGCCTAATGCCCCAATTTTTTGTTGGTGTCTTTGCTGTGATGCAACTGGATCCAATCACTTAGCCTGTCTAAGGTTTCCCGACCCCCTGCCTCTCCATTGACCACTGATCTGACCACAGATACTAATACCCCCTACTCAATATTTACTGTTAACTCTATCCATTCTGAATCATCCATCCTTCAGAATACACTCCTTCCTCTCTCCCAACATCCTCCACTTCATAGCCTACTGCACAGTCTTCTTCATTGTCTACCCCCACCCCGCTTATTACCATTCTTTATCCTTATTGTCCCCCCCCAATCCCTTGCCCGTTGTTGTCGTGGGGGGGCTTAGGAGGCGGAGACTGGGACCCAATGATGGGGAACTCCCCAACCTTGGGACTCAGCCCTCGACTCAACTAATTATGCATGGTCTTTTTTTTCCCTTCCCACTTTTGTTTCTGTCCCTTCACCAAACCCTTCTGCTATCCACCTCCTAAGGTGTGAGAGCCGTGCTGAAAGGATGAAAGGCTGACTTTGTGCCAGTCCTGAACGGCCTGAGGGAGCCATGGGCACGGTATTCCCCTGATTTAGTTATCTAGCCCTTACCCCTCAAGGGGACCCTGAGGGGTGGACTGCTTTTATCCCCAACATAATCCAGGCTTCCCATGGCCAGTAATGAAAATATATCCCCACTGTTAGGGGCAATGAGGCTTGCCCCTTTATCAAATAGCCCCAACGAAGTAAACCCACCCGATTCCCCGACCCCAGGCTCTCCTTTGACCACGGCTCCAAACACTGCAATAACTACCCCTTCACCAATGCCTACTAGTACAGTAGCCAACAATCAACCCTCAAGGGACATTTCCACTCTCCCAGCATGCCCAACTTCAACACCTCTACCCCCACAACCTCCAACATCAACCACCCCATCCTCCCTTATTAATACCTTACAGCCTTATAGCCCACCTCTCCATAACACTACCTCCATCAACACTACTCCATCTTCGTCACGCCCTCGCCCTTCTACCACCCCTATCTCTAAAACAATCTTGAATACTCTCTTCAGTGCAGCCAAATGGGACCGATTTTTCGTGATCCCTCCCACAGCTCCCTACTCTAACAACACCCTTCTCTTCCAACAATGCCTCCAAAAACAAGTAGGTAAAGTCTCTTTCCGTAGCCGACCCGACCGCTCCCGTCTTGTAACAGTAACATCCGAAAACCAAGCCATAGCATTAACAAAACTAACTGACCTAAATGGTAACCCCATCCTAGCAGAACCCCATCCAACCCTCAATACTTGCACCGGAACAGTCTCAATCTCACCAACAAATTGCCCAATCTATGACAAAGAATGGTCAGATTGTGGAGAAGATCTACTTGCCTGTCTCACAGACTACGATGCAACATCAGTACAATGCTATTCCATCCCCCCCAGAGGTCATCGAAAGAAACCCACTAACATAGCCAAAATTACCTTCCGTAGACATGACCTTCCCTTTAACGTCTACATAGGAGGAGAATCCCTCCCTGTTCGTCCATACCAACCTCCTCCACGTCAGTGCCAAAATTGTTGGCGTCTAGGACACCCAGCCAAACACTGCCGTTCCACAGCCAGATGCCCATTATGTGCCCAACCTGGCCATACCCGATCTAACTGCTCTGCACAATCACGCACATGTGCCAACTGTGGCGGCCCCCATAATGTATTTTATAGGGGCTGTCCCACCTACAAATTTGAATCTGAGGTAGCAACTCTCAGATTCAAACTCGGACTCACACTGCGTGAAGCCAGACAGGAAGCACGTCGACGTGGATTCTCTCTTACTCCTTACTCCAGTAATACTGCTCATCCTAACACTTCTCCTAAACCCACCCCTCCTACATCTAACCCCCCCACTAACCCCACCTACCTTCCCCTGTCAAACTCTTTTGCCATCCTAAATCCAGAAACTCCAATCTCTACTACAGATACTCCAATCACCACTACAACCCCAACACCTTCCCCTCTCCCTCCTCGCACTCCCCGTAACAGACAGAACAAACGTTCCACCCCCTCTTCCCCTACCACACAATCACCCCCTCCATCCTTTGCCCGTACTCTTGAGACAGCAGTCCTCTCTTCCCCCCCTCACAAAAAATCCTTTATCCCCCAAAACTCCCCAACCAACTCCACAGAAGAAACTATTGAAAATATTCAAGATTACTTAATGAAAACCGACACTCAACCTACAACTCCTGCTCCTTCCACACTCCAAGTAATTGCTGATATCCATCCTCCTCCTAACGATATCCCCCCTACACCCTACCCTCCTACCCCCTCCCAACACAGCCCATCCCCCCTGACCCCAACCCTGCCCACATTAACTCTCCCACCATCCCCTCTATCCCTTCCACTCCCTCCTGGATACACACGTGAATCCCTTATGTCACAAGTATCTCCTTCCTCAGACCCTCCATCTCCTACTACCCCTCCTGATAGAACACCAACTCCCACACCTCTCCCATCTCAAACCTCTCAGTCCTTATCCCACCCTCTAGCTGCTTCCCCTTCAAATTCTCCAACACGTACTACAATCTATATCACTAAATCAACGAAAGTATAACTATCCTTCATTGGAATATTCGCGGTTTCCGCTCCCACAGACCTGACCATCATATCCTTTCCTCTTATAACCCATCTATTGTATGCCTTCAAGAAACCTTTCTTATGCATACCCTTTATCTAATATAACACCCGACCTTAACCCTTTCACTCACTAATTCCTTTGCCCAGCTTAGACAACTAATCACTAACTCAACCACCCTTCACTAACATTAACTATAGTGCTACATGACCTTAGATGTCTAGCACATTTATCTTGCTTTTAACCATTAACCATTATCCTTATTGTCCTCCTAATAGTACTACTATCTTCCTCCTGCCCTCATCCTTCTACTGGTTCCATCTCTGCAAACCTTTTGAGTACCCTTTTTGGCCCAGCCAAATGGGAACGATTCTTTGTGGTCCCCTAAACACCCATATTGAGACAGTACCCTTCTCTTCCAACAGTGCCTCAAAAAACAAGTAGGCAAAGATTTCTTACACAGTCTTCCACAGTTGTTCTGACTGTTCATACCTTGTTACAGTTACATCTGATTCTGAAGCTTGTGCACTATCTACCTTGACTGACTTCATTCCTCCCTTAATACTTGTACCAGTACTGTTATCGTCTCCCCAACTGTGATTGTCCTGTTTACAGCAAGGACTGGTCAAAATGAGAAAACGACTTACTCGCATGCCTTGTTGACTGACTGTGATGCAGTAGCAGGCCAGTGCTACACTATTCCTCCCAGAGGCCACTGCAAGTCCTACACCAATATTGCCAAGATTAGCTTCTGTAGGCTTGACCTCCCCCATGATCCCCCCAATCCCTTGGGACTCGGCCCTCGACTCAACTAATTTTGCATGGTCTTTTTTCCCTTCCTACTTTTTCGTTTGTCCCTTCACCAATCCCTTCTACTATCCACCTCCTAAGGTGTAAGAGCCGTGCTGAAAGGATGAAAGGCTGACTTTGTGCCAGTCCTGAACGGCCTGGGGGAGCCATGGGC